TTACTAACTAAACATTACATTTGCGAGACGCAAATTTATTATCAAATGTTCTATAAGTGGCAACCCTTGCGTTCTTTTATTTGTCAGGACTAAATGGAAGCGGTTCTTAACATGAACGCTCAAAAAATTTGCGTAGGTTTCGAATTGACATTAATCACTTGTAATGCTTTAAATGTCGTAAGTTTGTACAGTCTTGCCTTCTTTTAAAGTAACTTGTCACTAATTGTAAAGTTATAAAATTAATAAAAAGTTCTATGCATACGTACGTACGAAAATAAAAATGATTTAACTGTATACACCGTAACTTTATTTTCCTCAGTATTCTTTAATATCGGCACGGAAAATTTGGATAATTTTCAAAAATTGGACCAAGACTAAAACATTCTAACAGCAAAATGCAAAGTTTGTACCAAAATGTCGGAAAGAAAACTTGCAACCGACTTATATACCACCAGATTTATATACGTACATGCGTATACTCTTCGATTAATAATTTATTACTATCGAATGTCACAAACGCTCATATTTTCGATAATAAACGGTCACACAGAAATTCTTTAGCTATTATTGCGTTTTTGAGTTGCATCAATACCGTTTTTTTAAACTAACTAGTCTTTTATTTAATTTTACTATTAAATCAACTCGTTTGTATTCGAAATAATAAAACGACTGAACTCAGGTCCAATCGTTGCATGTACTGATTAGTTTTTGATCAGAGTTTGTGGGGTGAGTTTTAATAATTTTGTTTATCGCGTGTAATTGTATCGTCGGGCTTATTTTGAATCAGTCAAACGACACTGATTCCACTTTGTTTGGTTGCGTTTCGATCGCATCGTGTTACGTGTAATTGCCTTGGGGGCACCGCGACCTTGGAGGAGTCATTGTCGTGACGGCCATCACGTAATAGGTGTGCCTTATCGCGAAGGCCGACCCGAAATAGCCTCCCCGGTACACATCCACCGGTCCGATTTCGATGCTCACGCGAACGTATCGCTATTTTCGTCGGTCCCGTCGATACGTACCCGCAGGTCAAATGGACGGTTGCCGTCGCGCGAAACATTCGGACTCCGGTTCGATTCCCGTCGAGTGTAGATGGCGCATTTGTTGCTTTGAAAGCATTTGACCGCAGTTGAACACTATTGAGATTTGACACTATTGAGCTATAGTTGCTGACAATTAATCTACATGCAGATGTATGACTAAAACCAAATACGAAACAATACATGAATTCTATGGTCGATGATGACTTTATATAAAAAAGTGTTCTTTTAAAAGATTTTTGTTTGTGGTGATGTTTTTTGTTTTCAGAAAAATGTTTTAAAAGTATTAATAATTGTATTCGGACACTGCTTACATTAGTATACTATTAATTAGCAGTAATTAAGTTGTAAACCTTGCATTACAAAATTAAAAACCAATCTCTGTTTATAACTTATGAAAATTGCCGCCCGTCGTATAAGATAAAATGTGATTAACTTTTTCTTTTAATACTCCATCAGCGCTAATTCTCGGCGTCTGCGATAGGTGACTTTCCCTGATGCGTCTTAATTACATTTGCCAACTTTCGATTCGACTAGACGTTGAATTAACAAACGAGAGCCGTTATCGGACTATAACATTTTATTGTTAATTTTTAAATTCACTAACGTGACTAGTTTTGAAAAGGCTGAGACAAGTTGTCACCGATCACAGCCGGTTCCTTCGAAGCGACCAACCTTTCTAAAGTGACGTCATCACGAATGTGAGGAAGTCAGTAACGTAATCCGAAAAAGATCCCCGCAACTTGTTAATGACTTCGTCGGAGGGAGCCGTAGTAATCATCGTTAGTGCCTTACGAGAACCTTGTACTCCTGCACATTCAAAGTGGAGGGGGTAATGCTCGGTTTTTCTCGGCGTCCGTTTTTTTTTCTCCTTTCCGCCGATGCACCTTGCGAAATCGTTTCGGCTAATTCATCGCCGGTAGACCGTAAAGCTTCGACCTAGACACACATTCAATCAACCCAGGTTTTTGTTTGTTTGAATAAAATTATAGTTATACTTAAACTAAATATTGAATAATTCTTTTACTCAGTAGAACTTTTGTGCGAATTGTACCTTAATACGATTGTAATAAGGATAAGATGTGATGGTAGGTAGGCCTTTCCCAATTCAGCCAAAGGCTATTTTTTTTAATTGGAAGGAAAGATCCATACATTATTTCTTCAATGCCTCTATTTAACAAAGATCATCATGAATCCTCTTTTATTCCATGACAAGAGAAAGAGTTGTGACCTCGCTTTAAGTCATCCTACAAATCGCTTTTCATATGTACTACTACTTGATATTACTACTTGATATTATATATCATATGAGTTTTTTGGTGCAATGTCAGATTCAAATATATTTATTCAATATACAGGGAGTCTTTTCGATTTTTTTTAAATTAAATTATAGACATAAATAATGTTATACAAAAAATAATAAATATTATAATCACCCGTAATTAATTAATTAATTTTAATTATCTCATTAATTATAACTTATCTCAAAAAGTGCTTGATTTAGGGGCAAATCATTTATTTTACGCGCGATCATTCATAACTAACACGCAAGTTCGTTTCAAAAGAATACGACGCACGCTGTTGCGTTTTCCATCTTGGCTCGCCGTGATGCCTTCGTACCGGTTTTCTTAAGGGACATTACGTACGAGTTCGGCGTAACGTTCGAGCATATGACTACAATAGATCTTCTAGGTCGCAATCGTCACTACCCAACCAACTTAAATCCACACAAACCATAAAATTAAATTCAAAACAGAAATGTACAGTGCCCCAAATTTGCTGACTTACCATTTCTAGTCTAAAATTTTCTAAATTGCATTAGTTTATTATTATTTCTAATCGGTGATATCGTTTCAAGATGTCGTTTGTTGGCAACCTAACTAGTACTTTGGTGACGACACAAGTTGCCGGTCTGTACAGAGTCGATGCACGGAACCACGGTCGTGTTCATAGGTCTTGCAATCCTGGGTTTCGAAGCGTCTTCGATACCTGGTGCGACAAAGATGACTATAGTCGCGCGACATAAATTCGCGTTAGTTTTCACAACTCTCTAATAATCTTACACAGCTAAAATAAGAAACAAAGCACCATTATATGTAATAATGTAGGTTATATTGATACATTCCTCTATTTTAGTACTTGATATACCTGTGTATAAGACCGTGCACGGAACACATGAGTCATGCCCGTTCGGTTCGCCATCTGTTGCATTAATTCACCGGCCGCGTATCAAAGTTTTTTGTTGGCCGTTTTACAATAGCGACTTTTTATTTCACGGCCGACGATGTTGCCTCGATGTTCGCACACTGGACACAACGTAGACGGCAATTTATCATCTAACTCCGCGTGTGATGAATCGCTAAGGTTCGTTGCACAGACTCTCGATGGAATCGGATCGGAAAGTATACGCGATACGGGTTGTTTTGGTGCGACCCAGTATTGGAGGTACCGCGTAATGAAAAAATAAACGAAACTCTCCTAATGAAAAATACACTGGAATTTTAATAATGTCGATGAATAATAGAATGTTCATGAACCTTTTAATAGAATTGTCAGAGTCTAGTAGAATCTTCTGTTTCATTTTCGTGCATTCATTTAGAAAATATTGTTACATTTATTAAATTTTATTCGAGTGTTTTTAGATATTAATCAATTGTATTATGTTTTAAATAAAACATAGTAAAACATGTCCAAATAATTTTATACTTGAATGGTGTTTTTAATGGTAAATACATTCTAAAATTAAGACACCATAATAATGAATAGATTTGGGTTTATATCTGTGAATTTTGTGACAGGTTAAAGAGCTTATATCCTTTTGTGTGTCCCGTGCTGTTTCGCTTGTATGTTTTCGTGTTTGTCCGTTGACACAAGTGTCGACTGGGTCGGTGTTTGCGTATCTTTCAGATTCAACGATGTCCACAAAAGCTTTGTGTGCCGCTGATATAATTGGGTCTCGGTGAACGGTCATATCTCTGCCTTTTAACTAACTCGATTGTATTGTCTCTTTCTTTTCAGATGGACTGGTAGCCGCTGTCCCGCTCGCACAGTGGACGGTGAACTCGCCAGTTTCCGTTTTCGATTCGTCTTTAAATAGGTTTTTTTCTTTGCAGTGTCATTACACTGACATCATGATGAATATTTGACCGTCTGTGCAAAGTTCCTTTGAATTTGCCGAGCCTGGGAGCTGTCTTCCAAATTTATAAGATACCTTGTTATTATTTCCAGCTAACCGTTCTGATTATTTTGTTTTGCGTAAGGAGAATCTTCCATTTGAAGGTAAATTGAAGTGGACGATTGCGTTTGATCTATAAGTTGATTTTGTTATTAACATGTTAGTTATTATTATTCAAATGGGAATAATTATTGCAAAATCGATACGATTTCTTCTAGAACAGCCTTCACTTGTTTCCGTTATATCAGAATTGTGTGCTAAAATTTTCTACTTGCGTGATGTTTCTTTTTTCGTATATTTGCCCTTGAACGTTTCTAGATTTCAAAATTAGCCTTTTAGTTCGTATCGTACCGGTACTAAATATTTAATCGTTTATTGATTTGTTATCAGGGCCGGTAACAACTATCATAAAACGTTAGGTGCTCTTGCGTCATCGCAATTATATATTTGTATAACTTGGTCCCAATTGACATCATACGACTTCTTACCTTCGGTGGACGTTTTTCAATTGAGTAGTTCAGTTAGAGTTGGTATAGTTTAGCGATGTTGTCGGAGGAGTGACATTATCGGTTGCTTTGCCTTTGTTATCAAAAATGCGGTAGACATATTTATAGCGATGCAAGACGATTATGTTTGATAATTCGTTTCACAGATACGGCCCCCAGCTTTGTGATGGAAGTGTTAACATAAGCGAAATAAAACAGTGGTAAAGCTAAACTGTGAACGGTTCCTCGTATGGGAGAGTGCATGTTTCAGTGACTATTAATTATGCTCTCTGCTTGAAAATGGAGAGAAAGCTTACTCGCGAGGACTTCATGCGGAAGAGTTTCCGTTCGCCGAGGATATCTCAGACGCCCGAGGCACAAGCCACGGTGAACGGCGCACCTCCACCATCGCCCGTATCCCTGGCGATGCTGGAGAGGACCCCACAGGCGACAAGGGCACAGTACGAGGTCACCTCGTCCGGAATAGCGCCCAAACGTTTGGAGCTCAATCGTGCTCATCCGATACACCTGAAATCCTTCCAAACGCCGGAGCCGCCCGACGAAGGCGGCCCGACGGCTCCCTCTGACGAGGTGCTGCGCAAACTCGAGCGACAGATAGGCGAGATGGAGCGCGGTCTGGAGCGAGCGCAGAACGGCAACGCCTCCGTCGACGAGAGGGTCCGTTACGCCGAGCACGAGAACCTGCTTAGGACCGGCGTCTCGTCCGTAGGGGGAGGTGGCTACCTTCCCGCAGATTCGGACACGGAACACGACTCGGCGCCGTTCAACAGGAACGAGACCACTAGGAGCAGCACCGGCGCAGCGGCCCCAACCACCCGACCCGCGGCCCGACTCGCCCGCACCCACTCGGACACGCAGCAGCACAACGTCGCCGCTACCGCCCGCCTCATGAGGAAACTCGCCGACGGCGGCGCCGCCAAGGACGAGAAGTCCAAAGTGATATCGCGCAAGGCGATACAAGCGCGGATGGAGCGCGTGAAGAATTCGGTGGTGGGCGCTAGGCACGAGCACAGGGTCCTCGCCGAGCACAAGGCCGAGCCGAGCGCGCAGACCCCGCCGCCATCGTCGAGGACCCCGACGTCGCCCGTCTCGCTGCGGTCCTCGGTTCAGGTAAAGAGAGCTGTGAGCGTCCAGTGTATGTCTGTCTCTCTGTTTGTGTCCTATCCATCAGACAATCTCGATTTGGATTTTGTTTTATGTTCATAAATGCAGTAGAAACCAAATAGATTGAGACGTCGAGATTTTGGTAAGGATATCGCTAAGCCTGGTAACTAGAGAGTTCGGGCGCGTAACCCGTATGGCTCAGGTTCGAATCCTGGCGGCGGCGAAAAGTTTTTCGACAATTTATATTTTAGCCATACATGTTGTATATTACCCACTAACAAACTGCGACGTAGGGTCAAGTCTTTTAGAACTTATATAATTACTAGCAGACGCATCAACTGCGCCCGAATGTAGTATAATGCTTGTTGACCAGATAAAAAACATCTAAGAGTTGTTTTTTTTTTTCGTGTATCTGTGATGTGGCGAACGGGAAACATAATTAATCGATCAACGCTGATAATTAATGAATTTTATGTGTCCGCAAACTTATTTCACCAACTAATGGTACTGTAAACGTAACGAGATAAATTGAACTGGATTCTATCCACCTGAGAATTCAGGGGTTCTCGGGTGGACGTCGCGCGTCTGTTCAGTGAAAGCCCATTAGTCTCTGTCCAGCAATGTTCCTTTTAAATACACCGGTGCTTTTAAACGTTTCTAGGTTATTTTAATTAATGGTCCTTGAATATTACTGAACATTTGAAGTATCGGGGATATGAAGGAAATTTTCTTTTTCTTTTTGTTGTTTGAATCAACACGGAATTGTCTCTCGTTGACGGAACCAATTAAATAGTTTGTTTGCCATTCAAATACTTTGGATAACATATTTATTTATGTAGTACGTAGTGCAAATATCAAAAACTGAGTGGAACAGGTTTTATGTATGATATATACCACACCGTTTTAATTTACTATTTCATTTCCGATATATCGGCTTGCTAGCTAGCATCCATCCTCGACCATAGGACGTTTTATTATTGTCATTGAGATTGTCATACCTAGTGAAGGTATATCATCAGATGTAACGGAAATCCACATTAGGATCTGGCATAATTATAATTTATTTTTCGATGCATACATTATAGTATTCGCTTAAATCGTTATGGGAGAAGAGGATGCGGTCAGAACGGGGAATCTGATTGACGCTATTGCTATTACCAGAATTAAAAGCACTGTAAATGTTAAAATCTACTAACATTGGTAATGTTTTTTATGTGAACAGTTGCCCAACGAGCACACGGTTCACCCGATGTTAAGTGAATCCCACCGCCCATGGACATTTGCTACAACCGAGGGTTACAGATGCGTTGACAACCTTTTGAAAATTGGGCTCCGGCTACCTTACCAGACGAAACGCGAAAGTATTTGTCATACTTCCACTTTACGCTGGTCTTTTGTGAGGTCGTGGTACTTACCCTGACGGGCCTGCCCATTCGTGCAACATCCGAGGCTGCTGCGTTGCCCTACCACCGCAGTGCGCTGATATTTCATCGAAATACCCTTCCAATTTGTCTTTACGCTTTTTTTATGCGGTTACACAAAACATTAAGCGTTATGAGAAAGCTAAGATTGTCAGAGCAAAATACTCACCGTTCTAATATATTATAGTCTGCAGAGGTCGTTAAGGTCACACCTACACTCGCAAATGTTGCGGAACTCTCAAATCGCAAACGTAATACGTTACTGCTTTATCGTGTGTTCGATATATATATAATAAACTGTCGATGTAATTAGTCCACGACACTTATAAAGGCATAGACTAAAATGTTTTGTCCCCGATATTTAATAATATCATAATTGTCATACGGGACCTCCAGATTACAGTTTTTCTCTACGAATTGCTTTCGAGTTTCGTCATATAGGTAAAGTGACGTCGTAAGTCCGTCATATATAGATTTCACATATATGTATAATATTTCGAAAATATGCATATACGATGTTTTCCGCTGGACTAGTTAAAAATCATCCAGTTTAATTTGGTTATTCTTAAAACTTTGCGTAGACATTCCTGGGAGTTGTGACAGAGTACACGTAACACGTAGCGAACAGATTTCCCGTTTAGTGGAAAATTATTTCTAGTCGCAGCGTCTTGTGTATATATCGCGACATTTGCATAAACAAGCGGTGACGCCTCGTTTCTGGGTCAACGGGGGGAAGGACCCTTGAGCAAACGCGCTCGGCAAATGCTATTCACAAATACACGCCTATCGGGCCACGGAATAGATCGGACGCGTGCGACTTTGTTTTTGTGTCCTTCGACTTCGCCACTGCGACTGCAGCCTTGGCAGACCAGAGTGAATAGACGTCTACTTACAGTCTGTGCTTTGTAGCTTGGTGCGGGTGACAGCTGTCATTTAAACCACCTGACGCTACAGTGCACGCAAGGCAATGTTGTACTGTTGTTCTTCTTCTTTGATTCTTCTTTTAATAATGGATTTCTTTTAATAAATTTCTCTAATGTTATACTTTATTGCTAGGAGCGCACGGACAATGACGTTCCTCGGTTTCACCACATACGATAAATAAAATGAATCGAGTAAAATAAAAAATAAAATTGGATATGAATGGATTACTATCAAACATTTCCATAATAGGTACATTCTCAACGAATGTCTTATTTCTCAAATTCGAATTAAATATAGAAGTATAACACTTACTTATTGATTGTCAAATAACGAAGTATTTATTACAATAATTGTAATTAACATTGACCCGATGTTAAGTGATTGCCGCCGCCCTCGGTCATCTACATCACCTGGCGTTATTGCATATGCTTTGCCAACCATGAAAAATGTGGACCCCAGTTACCTCGCTTACCAGACGCAACGCGAAAGTATTCCACCTCACGCTTTTCTTTACACGTCTTTTGTTAGGCAGTGTCGGATATTTTATTTTATTTTATTTGGTACATAGAAAAGCAATTAGTGCAATAAACTTAACAATAAACTAATTATGAATATTATTAATAATTATATACTGTGCGCCAAAAAAATTTACACTACATGCTTACATATCAATAAATAATATTAAATTATAAATTTAAAAACAAATGACAAAGGGAAAAACTAATAATAAGCAACTAAATAAAAAAATAAAAACATTATGTGCCTCGAATACTTCGTTTGAAGGCACTCAGCTTCTGATGGAATATATCTACTGATTCAACAATGGTTGTAAGTTTGTTGTACAAGGAACACGGTCTAGAAATGGGGATATGCCTGTGTGATCTTTTTTAAATTAATCGTATCAGTATACTGGCAAACAGTTTGTTTTCGTACATTTCACTTATATGTGTCGTATTGATATTTCTATCATCAGAGAAAAAAATGTTGTTCTAATTGTACTATATAACACGCTCTCATATGTTGTAAGGACATAAAAGTTGCATATGACTCTCTCATCAAATAGAACAATAGCTTAGCGGCTCCGCCAACCCAGCCAACGGGCATGTCTGCACCTTACGATAATAACTACTTTGTATACTTTGAAATCGGTGACGAAATAATTAGCGATATTTATAAAAATCGTTACATCCGTTTGAATGAAAGCAAAATTATAGTTTTATATACATACTAGCTAGCGGACGCGACAGACGTTGTCCTGGACACACGTCCCAATCAATTACTTACATATAAAAAATTAATAAAAAAAAAATATGGTGATCGGACCGAATTGTGAATCTAAAGCGTTCTTGAATCCACACAATAAAAATTATCAAAATCGGTCTAGCCGTTTAGGAGGAGTTCAGTCACACGCACAGAAGAATTATATATACATTTATAAACATATGCTATCACTCAAACAGAATAGACATAAGCAAACGTGGTCAATCAATATTGTTTTTATTTTATTAGTTTTAACGTTCTCTCGGTTAAACTGTTTTAATTAATTTTCTATTTTTATCCATCAGGTAAGCATCGCATCGCGTAACGTCCACAGTCGATATGGACGCGTGAGGTAAGTGCTGACGACGTTTGTTGCCGGCCACCTGTCAAAACAGCGCGGCCGATGAGTTGGCACCACTAAGTTATAAGCGACTCGACTTGTTTGCGACTAGTTTAGTTGAACGGGAGCTCGATATCGTTTGTTCGGTTAGAATGTTCGGTCTGCGAGTTCCCGAAATATTGTTTTCGATTACAAATTAAGCAATGCTCTACTATATAGCATCTGATGGAATAGGTTAGAAAATAATAGGAATAAATTATTCACGTTCTTCTCTACTTGGCTTTCGCTTTGAGGTATTATTCCTTTATAGTCAATATTATTATATCTTTAAATATTCAACGTTATGACTACCAATTCATACTGAGATTTAGAAACGCGTGTTGATTATGCCGATCACGTAACATGACTGATATAATTTACTTAGCAAATATAAAGATTATGGAGCGGGCAATGTGTGGAACTTTACTTTTTAGTTTAGGTACCATCAGCAAACGTCAGTGCGATAGTACCACTATAACATAGAGTTCAGCGTGGGTTCTTAATAAACTATTTAAATGAGGGTGGAGTAAGAATAAAGTAGTCACTGTTATCATTTGTTTTGGTCGGAGCGGCTAGTGGAAATGACGAATCTCTGAGGTATATTCGACACGGGCAAAAAAAAATTCCAAAAGTCCGGTGACATGACCATCAAAGGCGATTCATATTGCCACGTGGCCACGTCACCAAGGCCGCGCCGCGCCTCTCGGCAGCCGCTTTTGTACGTATGAGGCGATTGATAACCGAGCGCCGATCTATTTCGGTGCGTCCTTGACTGCTCGTTTGCGTGTGCGACGCCCGTTTCGTCTTTCTCCCTTTCTCTCTCTCTCTCTTTCTGACTTGACGTTTTGTTTGCTAGGTCCTAGGTCTAGTCGCTGCCATATCGTCGGTGGAGCGTTGTTCGACCTTCAGTTGCTTTATTCCGTAGATCGTCAACACTCGCGGTTGACGATCTACGGTCTATTGATTATGATTTGTTAGTGTTGTTTATGTAGTTTTCCCCACTGATGCCGCGAAGGGTAGTTTTGTTAGATTATTCATTTTCGTTACATTCGGCAGTTATGCACAATTGTACTACCGTGGAGCACGTTATATAGATGATTCGCGACGATTTTTTG